TTCCAGCGATCATCTTTTAACCCCTGTCTTCCCCCTCCGTCCCGTTTTACCTTTCCCTGCCCTCGAGTCGTCCCCCTTCCCTCCCTCCTGCCCCCTTCTTCATGCTCTCTCTCTTCCTCCCTCCCTCTCCTCAACTTAGACCACCTCCCTTGCCTCCTTTTCTCCCTCCTTGCATCTCACAGCCTCGGCTTCCCTCCTCTCCTCTTTCTCCCCCCCCCTTTCTCCACTTTTCTAAAATGCACAGATCTTCTCTCTCACTTTCCCTTCCCCACTCCCAAGGGACAAAAAGAGATGCAATTGAGAGAGGGAGGGGGGAGAAGGAGGGAGAGCTTTTTAAGGTGGATCCGAAGCAATGGGCAGGTTCTCCAAAATCCGCGGTCCTCAACTGGCACTGACTGGCACGCAGGCACGGGCACAGCGAGCTAAGCCGTTCGCCTTGCCGGCGAAGGTAGCCTACGCCGTTCACACGGCCACAGTCCTACTCGGATCATCAGGGAGTGTGCTACCGCGCATGGCAAAACAGGACGCGTGGATGGATTGGATATAGACACAGGTTCTGCAAAATCAGGTGTTGCTGCTCCGTAACAACCTGATCCACACTAGCGCAAAGCGGGGCGGCTCCGACGTCAAGCCAGGGCTTGATGGGCGATGCCATTGTTGACGGGTTGGAATAGTCTGGCCCAAGCGTTGGCGGCCCAAAGGTCAGGACAAAGTCCCTTTTCCTGGAGGGAGTACAACATCCAGAATCTAGATTGCAACATCTGGATCCTGGGTGTTCTCTATGCCGTTTTCTCACGATCTGCTCTGACTTTTGAGGGGAGAACATGGAATAGGACGAAACTGGCGTTGCTGGCAGGCCCATCTGTATCAGGGCCTGGGGCCATGGCAGCCCAACCACTTTCCCTAGTCTCTCCTTTGGACGATATAGAACTAATCTACCACCACATTGTGTGTGTGTGTGTGGGGGGGGAAGCTAGCAGATACTAAACTACTGGGAAGAACCCACTTTCTAGCAAAAGTCAGGGCCTTGGGGCCATGGCAGCCCAAACACTTTCCCTAGTCTCTCCTTTGGATGATATGGAACTAATCTACCACCACACTGTGTGTGTGTGTGTGTGTGGGGGGGGAAGCTAGCAGATACTAAACTACTGGGAAGAACCCACTTTCTAGCAAAAGTGTGGTACCAAAGTGCAAGGAGAAATCAAATGAACAAACTGGAGGCAGCAGCTGGTTGGGTTTAACAGAGACACAGTTTACTCTCCTAACAGTTTGGAACCAAACTGTGGACATTTATTTTTAACAAAAATAAAGAGACTGATTGGTTGAAGCAATTGTTGTCTTGGCAATGGTAGGACGATGCTCTGGGATCCAGATCATCATCCTACCACTGTTCAGTATGGATGAGTTCTGTATGTTATTATGCTAACCCTTCAGTAATATTCCAAGTACTATCCAAGAAGATTCTTACCTACCGTATATTGTACAGTACTGCCTTTGGAGGTAATGGAGCCTTTAACACTGATTGGCTGACTTGCTGTGATGTCATCAGCAGTTTGGGAGCTGGAAAAAAAGTCAGGCTTTCAGTAACAGACTGAAGTTTTGATGGTGAAGAGAAATTACTGTCAGGCTGGGATTAAAATTTTACGCCATATGGAAGCTGAGGTCCATTTGTGTTTTTAGACCACCACTCCCAGAAATTCTATTGGAGATCCCTTGAAATTAATGGGGCTAAGACTGGTCCTATCTACCTTCCATCTTACTGATTTTCAATGGCTTCACGCTACATAGACAGTATCTGATTTATGTGCCGACTAGAATTAATCCACTGAATCAATTACTGACTAAGTCAACCCTTAAGAAAACCCCATAGAGTTAATGAATCTATTCTAGTTGGAATGAGCAATAAGAGAAAAGCCCATATGATTATATCTGGATCCAGTCTGGAGGAAGCTTTACGACTAGAATAAATCCACTGAATCAATTGCTGACTAAGTCAACCCTTAAGAAAACTCCATAGAGTTAATGAATTTATTCTAGTTGGAATGAGCAATAAGACAAAAGCCCATATGATTACAGTATATCTGGATCCAGTCTGGAGGAAGCTTTCTGTCAAGCTGCTGTAAAAAGTAGTGGTTTTAGGGGATTAGGGCATATTGGGGGATCCATGATGTCACATATTGGTTTGAGCCAGAAACATGTCGCTGTAGTTATTTTAGGTCTCATTTCCGCTATGGGGAACTCTGTGACCTTTTGCTAATGGAGGCAAAGGGCAAAATGGCGTCACTGCCATTCCATGTACGGAAGCCACCTGGACTGGCCATTGAATCTTTCTTAGGTGCCAGCAACTGGGTATTCTGCACCATTCCTGGGGGCAGCAGGTGAGTTTAAGGGATGCAGGACAAACTGTGTGGCTTATACAACTCTGCCCTCTAGGTGAGAGGAATGTCTGGAAAAATGGGGAAGAATCATTGCCCTTCAGCATCTGCCATTTCAAGCAGTTGTTTTCATTCTGCCTCACGATAGAGTCGGCCCTACTTGAGACCATATCTGATTTCATATGGCTCCTTCTCTTCCTGTCTTTCTGGACAGCTGGCCATAGGGCTGTCAGGGCGACACAGAAGAGGGCTGGACATTTTACACACATGCAGGTCCTTCTCAGGGGGCAACCAGCCAAGCCTTCAACATTAAAACCCACATGGCCCTAGCTAACCAAGAGGGTGATATTCTGGCCAGACTTCTTATTGCCCGTTGAGGCGTTCAGCTTGAAAAGGGAGGGAGATCCGAGGGGTGTTTCTGCCATGCCACCTTAAGCAGGGAAGATTCCTCGTTAGGAGGCAAAGCTTGGAGGTGTATTCAAAGGGAAGTCCCGCCCAGTGCTGCCCTTTTTGGATTGGTTATCACAAAATCAGGACTCCTGGGTCCATTGGGATTGAAGTGAAATTTAGTAGGTTATGAAAAGGGAAGGGCTGAGAGCGCCACACCGGAGCCGTCTGTGAGGTTCTGGGGAAGGAGCTGGGGTTTATCAGTTAGGAAGAGGAAAGAAAGGGTGGGAGAAAGGAGGGCATAAAGACTGGTTCTTTTAAAAAATGAATAAAATTGCATGGGTGGGTGGGGTGGAAAGAGACCCCACTGAGAAGCGAGATTCAGAGAGGAGTTGCTCACAGCAATCCAGGATTTCTGGATTTACTGGAATCCAGGATGAGGGCTTGTAAGGCTCTGCTGAGGAGCAGGTAGGGCTTTGCATTGCCGCTTCTGGTAGAGCTCCCGCAGCTTTAACAGATGCATCACAAGCAGATGGTCAAACGGTTTATTAAGATTTCCCTTGCCCTTGATTTGGCAAACATGTACACTCGCCCACAGATTGACTTGTAATGTTTATGCTTGACCCTTTGGTCCACCCACACGGACCAGCGATGCTGGCAAACAAGAAGTGCAAAATTTAATAATAATA